CCAAACAGCCTCACCTGTTTGCCAAACTCCAAGTGAATGAGGGACTGTCTCAAAAAATGCTAGGTGGCACCTCAGGAGTATGACTAAAGTTTTTCTCTGGCCTTCATATTATACCTTCTCACGCACACACACAATAAATGAAACCTACATTCAGACTCAAATTGTGAAAAACTGAACTCTTCTCCCAAAGTCAGAATCAAGAATGTCTATTGTGTCCACTCCTAGTCAACATTCTACTAAGGTTCTAGTCAGGGTAGTAAGGCAGAAATATATTATATCCAGATTACATAGTAAGAAGTAAAACTTAACTCTGTTTGCAGATGATATAATCCTTTGTTTTTATTTTTTAAAAGACAGAATTTCTCTGTGTAGCTATGGTTGTCCTGGAACTCACTCTGTAGACAAGGCTGGCCTCGAAGTCAGAGATTCACATGCTTCTGCCTCTCAAGTGTTGGAATTAAAGGTGTGGACCACCACCATGCCCAAATCTTCTGTAACCCAAGCTATGCTAGAATCCTGTAGCCCAAGTTAGCCTCTAACTCTTGGTGATTCTCTGTCTCAGCCTACCTAGTGCTGAGTTGTGAGCCACCATACCCAGGCAAGATAGTCTTATATATGGAAGTTTCTGACAAATTTACAAAAACAAACAAAACACACACACCAAAGTGAAAGTTTCAGAAATTATAGACAAGGCCTGCAACAATGCAGGATGTGAGTAGTATACCAAAATTTAATCTCCTAGGATTACAATAATCAACAACTCAAGAATGGTGATAAATAATTTTGTTTTTCATAGTATCAAAAAAGAGAAAAGGCATCTTGAAATATGCAGTCTTTTCTTTTTGAGACAGAACTTCACTGAGTTGTTCAGGGCGGCATTATTTAGTCTGTCGCCTCGGCAGACCCGGAACATGGGGTTCTCTTACCTCGGACCCCTGAGTAGCTGAGGTTACAGCTCTGTTAACTGTATATAAGAACAGCTCTTTTCTTCATTTCTTTTTATTTTTTATTTTAATTTTATTTTATGTGTATCTGTGTGAGGGTGTCAGGTCCTCTGGAATTGAAGTTACAGACAGTTGTGAACTGCTGTGTAGGGTCTGGGAATTGAACCCTGGTCCTCTGGAAGAGCAGCTGGTGCTCTTAACGCTGAGCTCTCCAGCTCTATTTTCTTCAGTTCTTATTAAGATGATTCTTGGTGATTTTTTTCTGTTATGGTTTGATCCTTTTCTTATAGTTATTATCATTGTTATTTTGCAGTGTTGGGGATTGAACCCAGGTCCTTGCCTATGCTAGGCAAGTCTCTACTACTTGAGCTATATCCCTAACCTCCAGGATATATTTTAGTTTGTGATATGTGAGAAAGCTGTTGGAACTTATTAGGCAGCAAATTACTTTCTTGTTGACTTTTTAATTTATAGTGGTTTTTAAGTTGATTCATTTTTTATAGTACTAGGGATTAAACTCAGAGCCTCACACGTGATGGGCGAGTACTCTTCCACTGAGCTACAGCCATAGCCTAAATGTTTTGTTTAGAAACTATCAAGGGTTATAGTTTGTGTTTACTTGCTTAGCTGTTTTAACATGTATGTGCAGAATAGTATTAAGTCATGGTTATGGCAGTGAATATCCTGCTGTAACAGCTGTTTCACTCTGAAGGTCTACTTTGTTTGGATTAGTAGTTTGAGATGGATATGAACCTCCCTATATACAGGGGGAGTACCTTCCTCCCATATTCCTTTTTCACTAAGTTTTTTATTGTTGCAACTGTGTGTTGAAGTCTCTCCACCTCAAGACCTTGCTTAGGTTATAGATGTTGTTCCACTTTATTTCTTGGATTTCATTTATTTATTCAGTGTGTGTGTGTGTGTGTGTGTGTGTGTGTGTGTGCGCGCGCGCGCGCTGTGCTGTGCATGCATCACCATGATACCTGGTGTGGTCAGAAAACATGTAGGAGTTAGTTCTCTCCTTCAGGCTTGGCAGCACCTTTACCTGCTGAGCCATCCTGCCTGTTCTATCTTCCTCAAATGCAAGGCAAAGCTCCTTCAACTACCATCTCATATCTTTATCAAGCAGTTCTCCAAGCATTACAAGAAGATATACACGCAAGTCAGTGTTCCTTTATCTCACCTTCTCCACAAAGTAGCATCTTATATATTTATGGTGCAGAAATCAAGCCCAGGGTAGGGATAGAAAATGCAATCCCTAGAGTGTTTTATATGTACCATTGTGCATTGCTTATATGCTTGAAAGGGAGAGAGTATGTGTACACATGAGAGACAGAAAGACAGACACAGACCATGCAGTACCACCATCATTTCAGTGAATATAGACACTGTACCATCATAATCACAGTTACCGTAAATCCTGCTATGCAAGTAGAAGTGAAGTACCTAAGAGTACAGTTCTGGACCCTTTGGAAAAATCAAATAATTGTGTTTATCTTTATGGGTCCCTTTTGTTTCTTGGCCAGTGAATCTTGTCTGTGCACTAAGTAACTTTTAAAGAAAACACATTGAATGATAATACAATTTATGGAAAAAATTATGGCCATGAACTTCGGTATATGAAGTTTGGAGAGAAAACAGGTCTCCAAGAGGACTCCAGGTCCCATTAAGGGTCTTGAAGGAAGAGATGTGTTTTCTTAGTGCTGTCCTGAGCCTTGAGGACACTCTTCATTTCTACCAGCCATCAAGGACAGGCTGCTCATTGCAGGAGACTAACTGTAAGCAGTAGTACTGGCATTGATGAAAATTACAGCTAACAGAATTTCTGAGCGTTATGACTTATGGCTATAATCTTAACATGTAAGAAAGTACATTAATTTATACTTTAATAGTCATAAACTCATTGCATGTCTCTAAAAGTCTATTGCATTAGTTATAAAGATTTTTATTTTCTACTATAAGCGATTTCAGTGAGAGGAACATTCATACTCTCACATTTCTTTTTAAAATTATTTTTATTTGTGAACACATGGGAATTCAGAGAACAGCCTGAAGTTAGTTCTGTTCTTCCTTCTACATGGCTCAGGGGATCAAATTCAGGTCTTTAGTCATGGCAGCAACCACCTTGATCCACTGAACCATATCACTGGTCCATGTTTTCACAACTTTCTAAAAACCAGACTGCTCAGAAGCCAAGTGGCTCCTCTTATCTAGTGCTTTCAAGCTTACTAGTACCACATGAGATGCAGCATCTAGAAATGTCCATTACACTTACTCAGATGGAAAAGAAAGGGGTACAACTCAGGCCAGTGTTATGAAAGTCTGTGATCTCACTGGCCCTCTGTAGGATCTTAGGGACACATGAGCCTACAGGGCACCTGGGGAACTGCTGTGTCACTTGGCATCTCATTTAGCATTTCTCTCAGAATGTCAGTCTAAATCTTGCTGGAGGCTGAAGCCAATTACTTATTTCTGGGCTAATTCTCAATAACATCTAAGGTGATTTTTTTAAAACATACATTGGACTGCTGACACTTGTAACAGCGGAGATGAACCCGAAGGCACTACACCAAGTTAGTAAGAAGGCCACAAAATAAACTGTATGACTATTTATCTAAAAGTCTAGAAAAGACAAAACTGTAGGAGAGAAAAGCAGAATAATTATGCTGGGGCTGAGGTCAGAGGGAGACTGACTAGGAGGGGAATGAAGGAATTTTGGAGCAATGGAAATAGTCTTCACCCTGTGTCCCTCCCACAATCTGTCCCCTTATCTTTTATTCTATTGGGAGGCATTCAGTGATTTGGGATCTTATGTCTCATGAGAGACAAAGCATATCTACACAAAGACTCATCAAGTGTTCATGGCAGCTTCATTCACAGTGTCCCTAAACTAAAACAATATCAGTGCCCACCAGTGAGTGAATGGACAGACAAGCCTGATGGTATCTTCAGACTAAACATGTGTGGCAAAATCATGGAGAAAACGGTACTGCATGCAACCATCTAGAAGTGATTTTCATATATTTTAGAGTGATGCTTTCTCCACACAGTGAAACCAACAGCTCTTTCTCTTTTCCTGTGTTGGGATCAGATCCAGGACTTCATGCATGCTCTATTATTATTACTGAACCTTTTTTTCTTTGTGTTTTGAAATGGTTTGCATCAGATAGAAATCATCTGCTGTATAAACTTAAAAGAACTTACCAAGAAGAAACTAAAAACAAAAATGTAGTACAGGCTGGCTTTGAACTCAAAGGAGTTCTCTTCTGGGTGTGAGTGGTGCCAGATGTCAAGCCTTGAGGGACCTGGTCAGGTCCTCTATGGCGGCCCTTGTTTTAACTCCTCAGTTTTAACTCCTTGGATGACAGCAATAAATAAAAATAAACCGATCTTAGGGTCCTGCAAGACTCTGTATTTGAAAAGAGTAGAGACACTTTTTAAAGGGCATTGGGAAGAGGCTGAGGGAAGAGACTCAGGAATCAGAAGAGCCTTGAGAGCTGAGGCACCAACCCTCCTGAAAGGCATTCTGTGGGATGGCTCCAAGGGTTGGTCTCATTTTCAGCCTGTACAGTCTCTGGGACCTGGTTGGGCAGGTTCTGCTGAAGTCCTGGTTGTAGATACTTCCTGCTTCCCACGGACAGCTAATGAGTAACTCAGCACTGTGCTAGATCAAAAGCAGCTTAGCAGCCGTGAGGCTTCAAGGCCAGGAGAAGCTACACTTTTCCAGGATGAGGTGGAAGCGGGGGTCTGATATCAGGTGGGGTGCTTCCTGAGGGCCTTTGTCTCTGCTGAAATCTTACCCAGACACCAGTATAACAGATCATAAGGATCACGTCTTTTCCTTGTAAGAAATAAAACTTTCTCTCTAGTACAGCTGAAAACTCAGAAGACTATCTCAATTATTTTAAAAAAGCAGATGGGAGACTGCTTTTATCAACGTCAGTTTCCTCTATGTGGAAAGATGCCTGTGGCACTTGTTTAGACAGCACAGGTGCTATTAATAAACTGGCAAAATCGAGTCCTACTGCCTTTTGACACATTGTCTTTGTCTTGTAGACGAAAGAGCCTGTGGTTCCGACTGAGGAAGATACTTCTCTGTGTTCTGGGATTCTACATTGCCATTCCATTTCTCGTCAAACTGTGTCCTGCGATACAGGCCAAACTGATTTTCTTGAATTTTGGTAAGTCCTCTGTGTCAGTTTTTATTTAATTTTACTTAGAGTTCATTTTCTTGATTATGTTTGATTTTAAAGGGTGTTTTAAACTTTTAATTGAGACTGAATTCACATGCAGTAAAATGTACAGATTAGAACTACCAGCTAAACTCAGGGAAAGTATGAGTCTGTGACCTGGAAAGTACCCTGCACCTTTTGTCAGTTGAGGGACATGGTGTTAATGGCATTACTGTCCGGTGTTGCATTTGGTTCCCCAGGTGACTGTGTTGCATTGGCAGTGATTATGTCTCTTACTCCAAAGTAGATAATGCTGACAGCATGACCGGTTGTCTGAAGCTGTCATGTTAAAGATCTGTCACATGTGTAGTCTAGGTTAATTGAAACCATGAAAAAGAACGGTATCTTTAAAATAACAATAATGAGGCCTTACAGGTTTAAAAAAAATGTTATTACTGGTCCTTTTCTTTCCTTTTTAAAACCCTGTTTTGTTTTCCATAAGATAAAAAAAAATGACACTTTTTTATTTTTGTGGAATTTTGTGCTGTTTACAAAATAGACAGTTTTAGGTCCTTGAGTTAACATGGATCCTGTGTGGTTCCAAAACTGTTTGTGGATAAGGCGAAGAAAAAAGTAAAGTATTTTGCTATGAAGCAGAAGGCAGAAAATCCTGGTGTGTTTGATAGAAACAGTCCTTTCAGAAATACCATTTTGTACCCATGGTGAAGCAAAGGAGGATGGGAGGCATTGAAAATGGCTATGGTCACTGTTGGGACTGGACGGGATAAGGTGGACTCCTCACCAGATTTTTGGCAAGGTTGATTTACAGAGTGAGTATGGCCCTTGTTTGTTTGGGAGCTTGAGACACAAGCTGGCTTGATGCTGTGAGACAGCAGGCAAGCTTTGGACAGGTAGAGGGTACTGTGAGGGTCCAGTCCTAGAGTAGAGCTTAGGACATGGTACAGGAAAGGATGCAGGACAGGTGGGAGGTATGTGATAGAATTTAAGGCTCCATAGGGTCTGGTTTTACCAAGTGTAAGTTTATAATAGACATACAGAAAGTTGGAAAATACTAACAAGGAATTTCTATTCTTTAAACTAGTAAGAGAAATAGAAATACATGTGTTTACATTAAGAGGTATTTTAGTTTTTCAAGTGGAAGGTTCGTGAACTTCTAGGAATTTATGATCTCTAAGTTTGGTAACTTGTAAGGAATAAACTGAAAAAGAAACAAAATCATACCAAAACCAAGGCAGTGTTGCCTTTCTGATTTAGTGTCCCCTTAAAGAGGTACAGAAAAGAAGCTGGGATTTGCAAACATGAAGACAGAATAGCTGTAATGTATTGGAGTAGCCCTTAGAACTGACCCACGTAGCCTAGGGCTGTGCTCTCTGCTGTTTGACACACAGTCAGGTGCCAGCAAGGATTTGGATTGGATTTTTTTCCCCACTAGATTCTGTGTTCTTTAGACACAGCACACAGTTTTACATTGGTTTCCTGAGGATAGAACTATGCCACAGGCACACTCTTTCTCTCTCTCTCTCGTACACATACACTCGCACACATCTCATACACACACACGCAGCACACATGCATGCACGCAAAGATGGAACCAACTGTACAAAGCTGTTTTCTGACCTTCATTCCTATGCGCTGGTGCACACATGTACCACCCACACAAAGAGTAAATACTATTTCTTTTAAGTTACTAAAGACCTTGGCACTGATGGGCATCATTTTAGGGCAGTGATTGCCATCCTCACAGCAGCACTGGCCTGGCCCTTTTTGTCATGTTCCCACTGTGAAGCCTGCTCTCCTTGGAGCAAGGGTCAAAATAGTTCAGGCTTGGTGACTTCCAGTTATAGTGTGGTCAACTTTAATTGCTTGTGCCTATCTCCCCTTTGGACTGGAAGCAGTAGGTGCTTTGGTGTTGGAGTTTTACCTTAGGCCAGGAAGCTCTGTTCTTGTCTTTTACAGATGGGAGTCAGGACTTGTTGCTGTTCATCCTGACAATCTTTAGGGCTCAGGATATAGTTACTATAGTCATGAGTTCATAGAAAATTTGTCTTAAAGTAAATTTACAGTCAGATAAATAAGATTAGAAGAAGCATAGCACCTCTAATTTAAGGCATTATTCTCCTTCAGATGTATTTTCTTTTCTTTTATTCACTTTTAAAAACTTTTTTATTAATTATACTTTATTCACTTTGTATCCCCCCTGTAGCTCCCTCCCTCCCTCCTCCCCTCCCAGCCCCTCCCTTCTTCCCTGTCCTCCACAAGTGCCCTTCCCCAAGTCCATTGATAGGGGAGGTCTTCCTTTCCTTCCTTCTGATCCTAGTCCATTAGGTCTCGTCAGGAGTGGCTGTGTTGTCTTCTTCTGTGGCCTGGTAAGGCTGCTACCCCCTCAGGGAGAGGTGATCAAAGAGCAGGCCAATCAGTTCATGTCAGAGACAGTCCCTGTTCCTATTACTATGGGACCCACTTGAACACTGAACTGCCATGGGTTACATTTGTGCTGGGGTTCTAGATTATCTCCATGAATGGTCCTTGGTTGGAGTATCAGTCTCAGAAAAGACCCCTGTGCTCAGATTTTTTGGTTCTGTTCCTCTCCTTGTGGAGCTCCTGTCCTCTCCAGGTCTTAGTAGTTCTTCCTTCTTTCATAAGATTCCCTAAAAAAAAAAAAAAAAAAAAAAAAAAACAAACAAAAAACAAACAAACAAAAAAACATGATTCTTGCAAAAAGAAAAAAGTTATCTGAAAAACCCTGAATAGAATATCCCTTGGAGAAACTTTGTTGATACTGTAGTTTATTGCCTTCTTGACTTTTTTGTATGTGTCTATTCTTGTGAGCATGCTTCTCAGGTCTTGATGATCCCACTGATGTTTGGGTGATGCCAGGTCTGAGGTCTGAGAGGCTAGAGTATGTTTCCAGCTGTCACTCTGCTATTCTGTCTCAAGAGTTAGGAACAGGTCAGCAAAATGAAAGTCTTGGTTCAATGGCAAAGGCAAAGAAGAAATTTAACTCTTTAGGAAATAGATTAGCTCTATTAAACACTAACCTTCATTCTTCCCCAAAAAGTTCCTGTTAAACCCCTCATAGCTTTCTTTCTTACCTCTTTACCTCCTGTGGAGTCCCCTGGTTGACCTTATAAAGTAATTGGAATTGATAAAATCCAGATAACCGGCACAGCCCTTCCTTTGTTGGTACCACACCTGGTACAAGGCTGTTCTATTACTCACAAAGATGGAATGAGATGCAGCCTAATAGCAAAGATTTTCAGGCAATCACAAATGCCCATCCCAGTTTAGCAGCTCCAGCCTCTTACCTTTCAGATACTTTTCCAGATCAGCCTTCTTTAAAAAGCGTGATAAATTAGATTGTTTTCTATTTATTTGCATATTTGTTCACTCTCTCTTTACCTGTATGTGCCTGTATGTGGAGGGTCTGTTCCAAGTCATGCCCCTTGGTGTTTGTGGTTGCTGATATATGGTAGCGTGGCCAAGACTAGGGTTGATGAAAATCTGGAGAAGCCAGAGACCTGCAGGTAGGGTTTCTGACCTGTATAGCCAAGCCCTGTTGACAAGGAACCTGTGAGAGGTGATGATGAGAGCTGGACCACATCAGTGGAACATGGAGTAATGAAAGCTCTGTGTAAGGGCCCGTTTCTTTGTGATGCTCTTGAGCGACACACTGTTCCTGCTTTAGCTATTGTGTGGGTCAGTGCCTTCACAGGGTAGGCTTCAGGCAGCATCCCACAGTCATGGGGATCACAAATGGTTGATGGCTAAGAGAGCTGTAATAACCACTTGGGAGGAGAGGGAGCCCAGTACTGGCCAGAAAGAGTGAGCTACACATCTGGCCCAGGCAACCCCATGACTGCACTCAAGCTGCCTCCACCTAATGCACACCTTATCCCAGTTTCCTGTTAAAGTGTCATTTCTGGTCTGCATAAGCAAGGACATGAAGAGCTGCATGTGCTGACTTCAGGGTATTCCCTGTGCTTCCCTCTCCATGGCTGACTAAATCAGGAATAAAAGTGAATTGGCAGAGCATAAAGATTCCTGAGATGATCTGGTCGTATAGAATAAAGCTTCCCAGTTCCTGAATTTTCTTGGCTTGGATGCTTTCTAGATTAGCTGTTAATCCTCATAAAGCCACTTGGCCAGGAATTCATCCAGAATCTCAGGGTGTGTCATCTTTCTATGTTGACCTCCTTCTCGGTATGCAGTACTGAATACATTTGGATGCTGGGCCAGGGAAACCAAGTGTTCCAAACCCTTTTCCCCTGGAGGAGGGTGGCTGTGATTCCACCTTCAGAGTCTCGGCTGATAGCAACCTCAGGTTACCAGTGGGCACCTGACATTGATCTTTATAGTTTTACTAAGGGAGTCGCCTTGTCAGCAGTAGCAGGCGACAGAGCTTAGCATAGCCAACAGCAACCCCTTAGGGATCTCTATAGATGTAAAGACAATTTCTTGACTACACTGCAGAAAAGAATTTTAGGATAAGCCAGAGTGAAGCAAAGTAAGTGAATTTAATTGTGTTTAGACAGAAAATCATTGTATTAGTTACATTTCTGTTGCTGTGATAAAACAGTGACCAAAAGCAACTTATGGAAGAAAGTTTATTTTAGCGTATGGTTCCAGAGGGGGAAGAGTTCATCATATTGAGGATGCACAGCAGCAAGCTGTAGGCATGGTGGCAGGAGCAGGAAGCTCAGAGGTCACATCCCCAGCTATAAACACAAAGCAGAAAGAGAACTGGAAGTGTGCTGCGACACAGTGATCTAATTCCTCCAGCAAGGCTATACCACCCTATGCCCTGCCTCACCCCACACCCCGCACCCCAACAGCAGCACCAGCCAGGGACCAACTCTTCAAGTACATGAATCCACAGTGGCCATTTCTCTTTCACATTCCTACACTCATGTAGAAAAAAAAAAAAAAAAGATAGGACGTAATAAGCCCAACACTTGGGTCTAAGTTTCTCAAGAGTGTCCTGCTAAGGTCAGTAGGTCAGCAAAGTGGCTCAGCAGGTAAAAGTGCACAAACCTGGTGACCCGAGTTTAATCCCCAGGACCCGTGGTAGAATGAGAGAACTGACTCAAAAGTTGTCCTCTGACCTCCACATACAGCCCATAGTACATGCACAAATGCCACACACTTGTACATATGCATGTAGATACAACAGTAGACTTTTAGAAGAGGCATGCTTAGGTGTCTTTACAATGACTATGTGTAATCCTGTGGCTTTCTATGTTCCATTCCTGAAACAATATGGATTACAAAGTAGGTTTAAAGATTAAGCAAAGCTTAAATGCACAACAAAAGCCTAGATGAAATTTAAAAATTGAGTGAAAATATATGAGCTTGTCTTAAAGAATTTACTTTTGTAAATAAAATTGTAAAGTGACTTTATGATGTGCATTATTTAGATTTAGGGACAAGATAGGGGTGCTGAATAATTACAAATATCGATGTCCTAAGTAAGCCCAGTTCCCTTACTATTTTTAACAGTCCTGTCTAAGATGGCTTCAGGAAGTTCAGGAAGGCACATATCTCTGTAGGTAGTTTTGGGTTCATCAGTTATATTGAAGTTTTACACACACACCTACAAAGGCAACAAAGGCAACTGGATGCCAGTGAGTCTTCTCTTCCTTCTCAAGTCCCTTTAATTTTTTCTCTTTATGACTTATCTGAACTTCACCTGCAAATGAGGCTGCAGCTTTCAAGTAGAAGTATGTGGTAAGGTTATAGAGGGAAACATGGAATTGGCTTCCACAGCACAGGAAGGAAACCTCTTTCTTCCTTCATGGATCCCACTGACAGTTACCAACAGAAAACCCTTAGATCTCTGGTAAGTGGCTGAAACAGGGCAAAAAGACCTGGCATTTCTATCTTCCTTTATGTGGTACCATCACCTTCAGGTGAGGTTCTATTGAGCCCTCATGGACACCTGCTGCTCCTCCATGGAGCTGGTCATCTGCCCCAGATCTTCCAGCAGCTCTAGTACCTAGAGTCCACAGTCTCTGCTCCACCTTCAGCCAGTAAAGACCTACTTCTCCCTTTGTTCAGGGAGAGCCAGTGCTATCTCCGTTCTGCTTGTAAGCTGAAGCCCCATTAAAGCCTTGCATGTATACCTTGCTTGATTGTGTTTCTATCGCTTCCATGCCAGAGGATTACCAAGTCTCCAGTCCAACCGTTGTCAAGATAAAATCTGAATGCGTTAGTATGACTGTGTCCATTTTCCTGGCAGGTCTGCAGGCTGGGTGGCTTAAACAAAAATGTTCTCTCAGTCCCAGTAGCTGAGAGTTTAAGATCAAAATGTTGACATCTTCTGAGAACCTGGATAAAGTCCAGCCTTTGTCCTTCTCTCTTCCCTCCCTCCCTTCTGTACTCCATGGCCTTGTGTATAGTGCTCAAGCACTCCACCACCTCCTGCCTGTTTGATTAGCTGGTAGTGGCCTGCAGTCTTTGATGTGTCTTGGCTTGTAGAAATCTCACCCCATCTACTCACAGTCCTCACGTGCTCTCCCTTTTGAGTCATGATGGGTTAGAGGTTGCTCTGGTGACTTCATTTAAGCTTTGTTACTCTGAAAAGACCTCTTCCTTAGTGAGCTCATGGTCTTGAGTTGTAGGAGTTTGGGAGAGGACATAATTCAGCATATAACAAACTTAAGAGGAGGTTTAAAACTTGAGCTTGCTTCTTCAGGGGAATGTGGATTAGGAAGGTGGTGATGGGAACCTCATCCTGGGAAGAATTCCTTTTTCAGCATGGCCTGAGGGAGATGCTCAGAGGAGGTTCTGGAGAAGGAACATGTGCATCTGTGTCCTCATGAGTCAGACAGTTCATTTATTTAGCAAGTGTTCATTGAGGCCCAGTGGCATTTAAGGAAGTGAGTTAGATCTGCTATATGATGTGGGAAGTGAGTCTTGAAACCCACCCTCTCTGCAAAAAAAAAAAAAAAAAAAAGGGGTCTGTGCTGTCAGTACATTCCTTCTAGAGATCATGATCATCAGAAGTCAGAACAGTCCAGCTTTGTCACTCTCTCCCATGATGAAGATAAATTACACCTTGGGGCTTATGTATTTTTGGTTTATTCATTTAAGTTTTTAATTTTTCCATTAAAATTTTTTTCGAAAGTTGTTTGCCATAGCAATAAATCACAGTGATATGTAAGGGAAAAAGTTAAGTCTTTCTGCATACTCACACTTAGCACGTGTCTTTCTGCATTCCTTCTCCCAGCCACACATGGTGTAGTTGTCAATGTTGATGTCCTTTTCTTGTGTTTGTGGTGACAGTGGGACAGTATCCCTTTCATCTACCCTGTCCTGCATGTTTCCCATAGCTGATGTTCCTGTGATCTCTTGTATACCAGTTTATCCATTTGTAGCACTACTGGCAGTTAACTGTAAAACTCTGTAAAACACAGTGCCTTGAGTTCACTGTGGACAAGGATCTGGAGTTATTCATTTTGCTATCTTTCTAGGTTAAATGATGGTACCAGAAACTTGAACCTTTGTACCTTCTTTCCCTCCTGTACCCCAATCTTATCCATTATCCCTTTCCCAATGCCTCTGCCAGCTCCCTGGCCTCAGCCTTCAGCTATGGCTTACCTGAGCTTTTTGGCAGGGTCTTTTCTCCTCTGTGTCTCAGCCTATCTTGTGCCAGCTTATCCTGTTTAAAAACAAACAAACAAACAAACAAACAAACCTTTCCTTCCCTTGCTTCTGTCTCCTTGGACAACCTTCCCAGTTCCAGGCTCCACTCACACTGTGCCCTTCCTGCAGTGTTTTAAGCTGTATTTCAGTGTTTCTTAGCTTTAACTCTTCCCTGAAGTGTGCCTCTCATGTAGAAAAACCCTTCACCTGTGCTGTGGGTTTGGGGAGTATATTTATTTGTCAACACATGTATGTGTGAAGGTGTATGTATTGTAGTGGGGGTGTATTTTGTATGTTCAAGTGTGCATGTAATACATGGATGAGCAGAAATGTTTCTTTGTGTGAGTCCATTTTCTCCATTAGCCTTGACTTTATCTCTTTGTTCCCTACAGTGAGAGTTCCCTATTTCATTGACTTGAAAAAACCACAGGATCAAGGTTTGAATCACACCTGCAATTACTACCTCCAGCCAGAGGATGATGTGACTATTGGAGTCTGGTGAGTGTCTTCAGCCAAGGATGCAGGGTAGAGGCTCTAGCTTCTTTGGACTCTTCAGGAGGCCACCAGAACCCTGCTTGGCTCAGGCAGTGTCCTTGACACTGGACTTTGGTACTGTTGCTTGTTTTTATCTTCATCCATCCTTTTGGCTAAGGAAAGAGCTCAGCTAAATTTGATCTCAGTGGGACAGGGTGAGATGGCACCAAACTCTCCTGAGGTTTTTGAAACAGCAAAAGCTTTGTAACTACATTGTTTTTGGAGTCTTATTTCCAAAGTTAAAAACAAAAGAAACAATCCAGAGATAAAAAGAATGTAAGCTCACAGTCGGAAATACAGACTTGAATGTACCTTTTCAGAAAAGTGAATGGCTACAGCTTGTAGCCCTTCTCAGGGGCCTGTAAGAGGGATATTTATTTTTCCCATAAATTTACACTGGACTAAAGCCCTGTGACTTCTCTATAGTTTCCTTGGAATATATTTTAGTGGTTTTCTTGGTAAATGGTGATTCCTAAACACCACTTAGGGTCAAAATTGGCCAGTCCTGCATGAGTGTTTCTTTTTTTCTCTCAGAAGCAGTTCTGAATAACTGCCCCTTTATCATCACTGGGTTTATTTTTCAGTTGCCATAAAGTCTCTTTCTGCAGCTTCAGAAACCCACCGTGTATGTGAGAAGTTTATAAATGAACCCAGTGAGTAGGCTGCCAGTGTGGATGACAGGACCTTCAGATGTTTCGATTAACAGCCTTTGGGAAATAATAGAGAATGAGGAAGGAGGCTCTTGTTCTCCGCAGTGGGCATTGGGCATAGAGTCTTTATTTTCTGTTTTGATTTAATTGAGCAGTGCTGGACCTGTGTGTGCTTTGGGGGCTGTCAGTCTGACTTGCCTTGTCTGGAGCTGTATTTGGGGGAGAATGATTGGTCCTTAACTAGGAGCAAGGTTCTGTTCAGGAGGAGTGTCATGGTGGTAGTTAGGCAGAAGGCACTGACAGCACCCATTTACATTGTTAAGTACCCAGAAGAGTTAGAGTGATTGCCATACAAATCTCAGGGTAGTTGATGGCAGCTGCTGCCCTGCCTATCTGCCTAGACTATTCCATGACTTTGGGCCTTAAGAAGCAACAAGCTGTACTCCCAGCTGTCCTCACCACCATCCCTTTAGGTTCTCCCACCAGCTTCTGCAAAGGCCCAAGGACCATTCTTGGCTATCAGCTCAGTTACCAAGAGGCTGGAGGTATGCATACTGTATCTCTGCCAAGAGTTCCAAAATGGGATAGTCTAGCTTCTAGAAGAGTGTCCTCTCCAGATGTTGAAAATAGGTCTACCATCTTTGTCCCACTGCCCTGTCAATCCTATATATTGCCTATGCTGCCTGAGAACACCTAGCATCTAGCAGTCCTCCTGTCATAGCCTCTCAAGGGTCTTGTGATTGTATGGGAATGATAATTACAGCGGATAAAAAAACACAAAAATGTGTTGCTTCTCAATGGACAAGAGAGATACATTAAAATGAGAAAATAAGGACTTGGCTACTTGATTTTTTAAAGGTTTATGTATTGGTGTCTAGAATGAATTTGGCTAAGATTTTTAAAGGAAAAGTAGACAGTCAACTTAGACCCTCTCCAGTGATTAACAGTATTAATTTTGACCTTTGTATATCTCTAAAGGAGAGTTTGGCCAAATAGAATAGCAGTAGAGCCTAGGTCAACCTGGCTGATGAGGAATTTATCCATGTGTTTGTGGCTCTAGAATTCAGGAAGGTTCTACTGATTAATGCAGGGCAGATATCTCTCACATTTGGATAAAGGCCACCAGAACAAAGCTATTTGACCCAACAAGAAGCCCTTTGCCTTCTCTAATGCTATCAGCAGTTGACCTGACAGCTTGCAATTCCAGTTACTTATTTTAGGGATGAAATAATGTGTCACCTACCCCTCGATCCACTTGTTTGTAGATAGAGGCTCTGCTGCTTTCTGTCTTCACAGACCTTCATTAGGTGCCACTGTGTACAGGAGGGGCATCTGACTTTGTTGCCCCCTCTGCTTTTGTCTCCAGGCACACCATCCCCTCCATCTGGTGGAAGAATGCCCAAGGGAAGGACCAGATGTGGTATGAAGATGCCCTGGCTTCTAACCATCCCATCATTCTATACCTGCACGGGAATGCAGGTACCAGGTAAGCCCACTCCAGCGGTGTGACCTCTGGGTGGCACCTGGCTCCCTCCCAGACTGGAAATGTATTAGCTTAGACTATGTAAAGCAGACCTGTGTTCCAGGTAATCAGGTTTAGTGCATGCAAGGAGAGCATCTTCAGAACAAGGGAAAGGTAGTGTTCTTCTGAGACCAGGAGAATTCAGAGCAGCTCTGTGTGCTGAGGGCCTGTGGGTCTTGTCTGCCCAGAGCTTCCTGGGAGATAGTGCTGAGCAGCCAGCATCTCTGGAAGCTGCACCTGAAATAAGTTGGAGGAGGCTATGTCTCTGTCAGAGAGACTGAGCATCTCTAGCTGTAGGGTGTTTCTTCTTCCTGCTTTGGGTCAGAGGGCACTGTGTCTGTTAGGAAGCAGGCCTTTTCTTTAAGGAAGTGGTTAGTTATTCAGGTTAGTCATTCATGACAGTTGGTGGTCTCAGTACACCCTTGAGGAAAATGCTGACACCGTTCACCTTTCTGTGTTTGTCACCTCTGGTCTAAAGAGTGGCAGGCAAGCCTGTCCTACCTGTGAGCCCCCAGAATGTAGACTAGGGCACCAATTTGAAAAGTTCTGAAAAAGAGATAGAGAGTATTAAAAAGTGGCCAGAGGGGAAGCTGAAAGCTGGACATGCATAAACATGTCTGTCATGGGCTGCCTGTGTGGGCAAGCTGTCTGCTGGCAGCCTTGACATCAGTAACATCAGTGTCTTAATGGGCTGTTGAAAAAGTACACACTTGGTCCATTTGGGCCTTTTATCCCAGATGCTTCTCATGAGTGGGTTGGACTTCAGGCTTAAGCTGGAGTTGCTCTCCCACCTAAAGAGCCCATGCTGTTTTTACACCATAGCATGTTGTTCAGAAGGGGAAGGGGAAGTGCAGGTTTTCTAAGGAAAGTGTTGTCTGAAAACAATAGGGTCCCTTTTCCTGTGCTTCTTTGGGTTGCCTGTGAAAGAGCCTGGAGGAGTCAGAAGGGAGGTAGCCTTTCACCAGCCCAGCAGTGTGAGGGTAGCTCTAGGGTAGCCCTTTTATAGGTAGAAACAGCAAGAAGAATGTGTGGCTCTTTCCAGAGGGGAAGGCAGTCCTGGGTAGATATCTTCTGTGGAGCCACGCAGAGAACCCAGAAGCAGGGCCCACACAGGCTTGTCTCTGTGCCAGAGCAGAATGTTTGGCTACTGTTCTGTAGAGTTTGCAGTCTGCTCTGTTGGGGACAAGCTGCAATAGGTTTCTCTTCCGCTTTTCAAAGACCAAGTAGCCATGAACAGCTTTTGTAGTATCTTTCCATAAATGAAAAACTTGTACTTGGCTGTGGCACATTTCTGGTAGTCACACGTTAAGTAACAAGGACAAACCTTCCCTGTAGCTTTATGTCTGAGAAGAGTGTGGTGACATTCAGTTATTTGCTCTGCCTTCCTACTCCCAGAGACTGCCTAGAGTATCTGCATTCTATCTAGTCCTGTCTACACCTCATTTCTCAAAGGCTTTGGCTCTAAATTTACTGAGACTCTTTTTTGGCTCCTCAAGCAGAGTCTCCTGGCCAGCTCCATCAGTCTTAGCAATCATATAGCATTGAAGTCTGTTGAAGATGTAGCTTTCTGAGCTCTTAGCCCTACTTTCTTTTTTCAGTCAATGGAAAGAGTTTTGGGGGGAGGGGCAGTTAGGAGAGCTATCTTCTAAAGATAACTCAAAACACCTATCAGATTTCCTTCTGGTGTTAAGCACATTTCTTTGTATTTTTTGCTGCAATGTATTGGTTTCCCTTCTCTGACTCATTCACATGATCCTGCAGTGGCATTTCCACTCACTATATACCTGAAATGTTCCCAGTGCTCATTTAAAAGAAGGAAAATGGTTTGAAGGATGAAGAAGGGAATAGGAAATGCTTTGTTTTAAGATTCTAGCCTGCTGGGGAGCTAGCCATTCTCATACTCTATGAGTTATCAAGGGCCTCCTAATGAAGGTCCAGCAGCTAGGTCCAGGACTCACTTACCTGTAATCTAGTTGTATCTCACATGTGAGTATGGCATGTGAAGAGACATCATTATAGCCTAATGAGGCAACAGGTGGGAAGGAGCTCCCATGACCAGAGGGTCCAGATAAGAAATGAGGGATGAAATAGGAAGGTACCTGGACAAGTTTACTGGGACACAGTTTCCATACACACAAGTGTTCCTGGCCCGAGGGAGCTGGGGAGAGCTGGGTAGCATGGGCAGGTAGGGTGGGAGTATATTGTGTGTCCATGTGTCTCTTAAATCTGGGGCTGGTAAGTGTCCATTTCTATGGAAAAGTTAAAGCCCACATGATAATTAAGAAATATCCCTAAGATGCTAGAAATAAAGCTTTTTTTCGTTTTGTTTGTTTGTTTGAGACAGGGTTTCTTTGTGTTGCCTTGGTTGTCCTGAAACTTACTCTGTAGACCAAGCTGGCCTGGAACTCCCAGAGATCTGCCGGCCTCTACCTCTCAGAGTGCTCAAATTACAGTGTACCCCACTGCTGTCTGGTTATGCTAGAAATTAGTTTGATGCCACTTAGGGGGACCCAAAGCGTCATGTGTCTACCATAGGCCCCTCTTTGAAATTGGGTTTGGGATCTCAGATTTAAAAATTTTTAAATACGTATGTGTTCTTGCATGTGAGTGCAGGTGCCCACAGATGGCAGAGGGCATCACATCCCTTGGAACTGTAGTTATAAACAGCTGTAAGATACCTAATGTGGGTATTGGGAACTCAACCCAATACCTCTGCAAGATAAGTAAGCATTCTTCATTACAGAGCCATCTCTCCAGCTCTGGGTTCCCAAACCCCTGAGGGTTACCCTGTGCCCTACCTTGAGCAGGGGCACTAACAGCACTTCCTGTTTCCCTCCTTTTCATGCTGCAGAGGAGGCGACCACCGTGTGGAGCTATACAAGGTGAGTGCCAATGGCCCAAAGGAGCAGTGCTGTTTGCTTCAGGATGCTGGAATAGAAGGGGTCACTTGTAGTAGCCATTCTGAAAAGCCACCATTCATGGGCATGCGGAGGGTGATGCCCAGCTAGTTCCCCCATGGTTCTTCCATTGTGCTGCTTCTGGGGTGGGTCCAGAACCAGTGCATACACTTTGGAGCTTCTTTCTCAGGTATTTACCAGTGAGATGAAAGGCACTTGCCACTGTTTTTAATGATGTGTTTCTTAAGTATAGAAATGCTGTGGGAGTGATCCTTACTGCAGGATCACCCTTAGGGTGTAGGGAGTATAAAGGCAGGTATGATTTGAGCCAAGTTCCAGACAGGCTTGGTAGAAGCTCCAGCAGGTAATTGTTCATGCCTTGGGCATGACATGGAATCCATTTATTTTATGTGGTTTTGCATATGTGTGTGTGCGTGTGTGTGTGTGTATATGTGTGTTGTGCACCATAGTGCAGATATGGAAGTCAGAGTACAGCTTGTGGGAGTTGATTCTTTCCTTGTACCATGTGAGTCCCGGGGATCAAACTCTGATTATCAGCCTTGGCAGCAAGAGCCTTTACCTGTTGAGCCATCTTATCAACCCTGTGGTTTTGTTCTTGATCTTGGAACCTTGGTAGAGCATGGTTGGCCAACCCATGCCTGCTCTCCTCTCCTTAGCTGTCTGTATGTAACAGGCAGAAGAGCATATACACACACAGATAGGACCTGTTTTGTTCTGGATAGTGGGAACTTTTTATTCCCCCAAGTAAATTGAATTAAGGCAGGAAATGTACTGGCTGAGAAGTTTACAGTTCCCTTGATGTTTCTGTAGTAGAAAAGAATCCCTTTGTCCAGGTCCACAAGGCTATGGGTGCAGGCTAAAAGAGAGGGCAGGATTCACCAGGCCACCTAGGAAAGCACCATGTCTTCCTAAAGGTGGAGTGCTAAGTGGCTCTAGGTGACAGTGGTGGCAGGGAAGCCTCTTTCATTGTCCTAGGCATACCCAAGCCAGTGTGTTATACACTGCACATGAGTAGTGATTTGTTTTGTTTTGTTTTGTTTTGTTTTGTTTTGTTTTGTTTTGTTTTGTTTGAGACAGGGTTTCTCTAGCTCTGGCTGTCCTGGAACTCACTCTGTAGACCAGGCTGCCTTGAATTCAGAGATCCACCTGCCTCTGCCTCTCGAGTGCTGGAATTAAAGGTGTGAACCATAATTAACTGGCTATGAGTAGTGATCATAATGAGAATGGACAAGGACAGGTAGTAAGTCGGTAGGATTTTTTTTAAATAATAGAAAATTTCACTGGGCAGTGGTGGCACACACCTCTAATCCCAGCACTTGGGAGACAGAGGCAGGCAGATCTGTGTTAGTTGGAAGCCAGCCTGGTCTACAGAGTGAGTTCTAGGAAGAGAAACCCTGTTTCAGAAAGAAAGAGAGATGGAGGGGGCAGAGGTTGATTCAGCATCAGAGAAATACTAGGTTGCAGTAAGGTTCTGAAAATGAAGTCTCTGAGCTCCATGCTAGCTGGCTAGCTCAAGCCTCCTGACTGTCCCTGAGAACTGTCTGCTGCCCTGTTGTAAAGTGTTATCCTGGGAACTGTAGGAGCTGGCCACTTGGCCATCTACGGAGTAGCAGAAGAGGCATCCTTCCCATGTTGCTCAGGCAGAGGAGGTTAGAACATTCTACAGCAGCAGGTACAGGCAGGAGCTGCATGTCAGCAGTCTAAGTTAAAGTTCCTACTCTGTTCATGACTCAGGACAGAACACTAGTGGGTTTAGCAGGAAGCAAGCTGCTCAGTGCAAGACATGTTGCCAATGATGGATGTTTTTCACTTCACAGGTGCTGAGTTCCCTTGGCTACCATGTGGTCACTTTCGACTACAGAGGTGAGGTTCCTTTCACGAGTGTATCATGCCCTCACTTCCATTGCACGTAATGGGCAGACTTGTGTCAGAGCTTGGAAGTAAGGCAGGAAGCTTGTTTGTTCAATGCTGGGCCTGCAAGGACTGTGCTGTCAGTGGGAAAAAGGGTAGGAGTCCTGCTGTGTAGCATCTGGGTACAGACTTCACTGCCAGTGCCTTGACAGCAACATTTAAATGCAGAAAATACTATCTTTTATCCTTATTGCACTCAGATTTTTACTGTAGCTGGACATTAGACTCTAGCTCAGTAGCAGAGCTAGTCTTGATGAAAACTGGGGAAAGACTCATTGAGAACAGAGTCTTCTGTCTTGATAGCCTTGCTCTTTCTTTTTATATTTAGTCAGGGTTGCTGTTGAGTAGACTTAGAATCCACTTTGATATGTGCTATGAGTATTCTGATTAATGAGCAGCAGACTTTTTTTTTAAATGGTGAGCAGCTGTTTTTGTTTTTTTTTTTAAGATTTATTTATTTAAAGTACATGAATGCTCTATCTGGATATATTCCTGCATGCCAGAAGAGGATATTAGATCACATTATAGATGGTTGTGAACCACCAAGTGGTTGCTGGGAATTGAACTTAGGACCTCTAGAAGAGCAGCCAGTGCTCTTAACCATGAGCTATCTCTCCAGCCTCCGTGAGCAGCTATTTTAAAAGAGTATTCCTCCATAGACTTCCCACTTGGAGAGCTCAAGGGACAAAGGCTGCCTAGCTAGCTTATTTGATTCTTCTTGGGGAGGGCAGTGATTCAAGGGTCCTCAGGCTAAGGGATGGAAGCCACTACCACCTTCAAGTGGGGTTATTATTAGTTTTGTTGTTGATGATGTAACAAATTACCACAAACAGCATATATTAAAACAAAACAGCTGTACTATCTTGTAGTTATGAAGATGACAAATCTAAAATCTTTAGCCCTTAAAATAGAATTAAAGTGTCTGTGGGCTTTGTTCTTCGGTGATTTCTGGAGAGACCCCTACCACTTGCCTTTCCTAGCTGCAGAGGAAATTTGGCATTTCCTGGCATTTGACCTCTTTTTCTGTTATCAAAATATTTATGAACACTTGAGCTTTATCCAGATGATCCAAGATCACCTGGTCTCCAGGTTGGCCCATGAGTGGCCTTCATTGCTTTTGTAGCTTAACACCCACTGGCATGAGGTTCACAACTTACCAATTCTGTGATTAAGATGTGGGCTTCTCTAGGACTCACTGCTGAACACAGTAATGGCTTTCACTAAAGAAAGTTCATCAGGATGAATGTTCTGAGCTGAGCCATGGCGGTGCACACCTTTAATCCCCACACTCAGGAGCCAAAGATAGATGGCTCTCTGAGTTCAAGGGACAGCCTGGTCTACAGAGTGAGTTCCAAGACTGCTAGGACCGAACAGAGAAATCCTAACTCAAAAGACAAAACAAAAGAAAACAAACAAACAAAAAAACCAACAAAACAAAAGAACAAATGTTCTGGTCTCAGAAAAATTAAGTGAAAAGCTAGAAAGCCCTGCTCCTTTTCTGCCTTCTCCATTCTGTAATGGTGTTTAGAAACATTCTTCGTGTGTGCTGAGACCCTAGGGTGATGAAAACAAGGCCTCCTTCTAACCCCCTTCATCTTCTTTCCAGGCCCGAGTCTCTGCCTGTCTGTGTGGAGTGGGGCCACCCTGTCCTCTGACTCTGTTCCTACTTTCTGTTACTCTGTCTCTTTCTTCATGTTCCCAAGTCCCTGTCTCCCACAAGATATTCTAAGCCTTTAGCTATGTCCCCTCTCAGCTCTTCTCTGGGGTTGGGAGTCTGGCATGTATAATTATGAGGTTTGCTCACACAGCAGAATTGCATTTCTGAGTCTTGTGCATTCGTCATGTGATGATGACTCAGTGCTGAACCTCTAGAAAAGCAACTGTACTTGATCTTTGCTGGAGACTGTGAGGAGAATCAGAGTTGCCTTAGGTTGGACTCTCCCAACTTCTCTGCCTCCCTGCATCTTCATGACTTCTTCCTATCTGGCCTGGTCCTCATGTCAGTAGAGCAGAGGAAGAACTAGCTTGAAGAATGCTTGCACCTGTGGGCAGGCACTAGCAGGACATGTACTTGAAGTTCTTGTGTGTGTGTTGCTGACTTAGTTCTGTTAGTTACCAATCTGATATGCATGTAGAATGACAGGACTCTGGTTTGTCAGCCAGCAAAAATAGGGTGGTTCACTTTTGCACCCCTCCTGCCTGTCTCCCTCTCACCAGAGCTGCAGTGGAAATGATAGCTCACGGGTGGGGCTACAGATGTTTCTAGGGCAGCTTTTACTGCAGCTGCTGCAGTGTCACAAGATGCCTTTGACCTTCCTCTCTCTCAGGTTGGGGTGACTCAATAGGAACACCATCGGAGCAGGGGATGACGTATGACGCACTCCATGTTTTTGACTGGATCAAAGCAAGAAGTGGTGACAACCCTGTGTATATCTGGGGCCATTCACTGGGCACTGGGTAAGAGCTCTCAAAGCAAGAGGGTGACATAGTGAAGGGAGGCATGATGTGAGACCTCTGGGCACCCAGTGCCGCAGGCTGTAGCATCATCCATTCCTGCAGTCTCGGGTTTCTGTTCCTATGGTAGGGCTTAGGGGAGTGAAGCACCAAGAGGGACTAAGGAAATACTGAATTTCTATAATTATTCCCCAGTTCAGAAGGGCTGTAGATCCAACATGGGCAGTGGAGATGACAGCCCGTGTTCCAGGGAGCTCTTGTCCCAGAGCATTTTCAGATAGAACACCTAGACTACGTCAGGTGGAACCTAGGGTGTGTTTACCAACTGAGTCCAACAACACCAGGTGGAGGTGTTGGGAGCAGCTTTGCCACTTTGCCATGCTCAGCTTAGCAGGGAGGATCAAGAAGAGAGATCTGTGGGCAACCTGGAATCTGCTGAGCAAGGCCTTGGCCCTCATCTTCTTCAGGCCTTCCCCTGCAGGCATACTGGCTCAGCTAGCTCTCAGTCTTTCCTCAGTCCAGAATTACCTGTCCTTCCTGGGGGGAGGGAGGATACCCCAGTGGAAGGATGCTGGCCATTTCTGTGGCGGTCTGGACAGCATCTGCCAGGCGTTTTTCTAAGGCAGTAGGGGGTACCTGACCCTGGTGGTTAACAAGCACTCCCACCCTCCTCTCAGTAGTAACTGTGCCAACCAGCCGGGGTGTCAGCTGAAGGGATGGGCCAGGGCAACCTGGAGAAGACTTCCTGGAAAGAGATCACATGCCTGAGGACAGGAGGGTGGCTGTTTAAGAAGGGTCAACTGATAGTTCACCTTGTTCCTCTCCCTCCCTCTGAAGCTCCAAGTTAGCTTCTCAGGACAGATTTTCTGGGCATTTTCCAGGATCAACACAGTTTCATCTAAAAGAATTTTCATCAGAATTCAGCTGAACTCTGTTTTTTCTTCCCAGAGTGGCAACAAATCTGGTACGACGCCTCTGTGAACGAGGTGAGAGGGCCAGACGCTGTGGCTGGGCACCTTGCTGTACATGTTAGTGGTCCAGCCCCTTCACAGTCTTGCCAAGCAAGTTCTAACTGGCAAGCAACACAGTGATGGCATGAGCTGACTCTCAAGGGTCGGGGCCCAGGTGTGCTCACCCTGCCCTTTCAATAGGATCCTCGAAAGTCATCTGGGGCCTCTTGGGGCTGGGACTGATGGTGGTGGAAGGCCTGCAAAAGTGAGTGCTTGGGCTCTCTGTCCTGTCTAAGCACTCCAGCCACTTAGCCTCACTGGTTCTGTCACTTCTTACCCACTGTCAGTTCTGTTTTTCTTTATCTAGAGACACCACCAGATGCCCTTATATTGGAGTCTCCATTCACAAATATCCGTGAAGAGGCAAAGAGTCATCCATTTTCAGTGGCAAGTATATAATTTTATAAAAAAATAATATATTTTCATGATTAAAATAATTGTTATGAAAATAAGAGCAAGTAGATAATGAAATAGTCATCATAAAAGGAACAGTTTGACATTACTAAAGACTCCCATCTAGTTCTAGGCACCGGCCTGCCCATAGAGCTGCCAAAAATGGGGGTAGGTCGAGCTTTCAGGCAGACACTGGTATTGCATGCAGGAGGTCTCGCCCCTGTGGCTGTGTTGTGTACCCAGCACCCAGCTTCACTGCACACCTGATCTTACAGCATCACTGCCCACTTGGTGCTGTGGAAGGCTGCAGGTTAGCTCCCTTCTTGAGGTGGAGCCTACACTCTAGGTCCTAGAGGATGATTGGAACCCAGGCTCAGTGCACTGGAGAGCTGGACTTCCCAGCAGTGTCTCAGAGCAAAGCCCTGGTAATCCCTGCTAAGGACTTCAGAGCTGGCTAGTCAGTCCCCACCTCTCCCTCATCAAGTGGGAGCCATCCTTATCCTGGCCTGCCCTCCTCCCTTCCCACTTCTATTTGTGTTGACATAATCTCATGCTACCACTTGTGGGCCAGAGCTCCCATTATTTTCTCATATCACTGGTACTGCTTTTCCCTGAAATTTTGTGAGGAAAACAGCCTTTGATCCCTATTTCCTTGGTGGGTATCGGTCTTTTTATCGTGGGGAGTCTGGTTTCTGGTTGCATGTGAGGTGTGGGAGCCCCATCTGATCTGTGAGGCTAGCAGATGAGTCTTCTGTCCGCAGTCACGCAGTCATGTTGAAGCTGGGGATCCAGCTGCACATCTGCTAACTCCTAGAGCCTAAATTGTCAGAGCTCTTCGCCTTTTCCTTCTGCCATCTCATGCCTTCTGAAAATGCTTTCCATCTTGTGTTCAGATATACCGATACTTCCCTGGCTTTGACTGGTTCTTCCTCGATCCCATTACAAGCAGTGGAATTAAATTTGCAAACGATGAAAAGTGAGTATTACAGTAGAGTGAATAGGAAGACCAGGGAGTCCCCATGTGACTCACTGCAGTGTTCGCCTGACAGAGTGGGAATAGGATGACTTAGGGTTGGCCTCTGAGAAAGTGTCCTTTGAAAGGGAAAGTCAAACTGAGCTTTGTATTAGAAATAAGAAAGAGCATCTGCACGACAGGGCAGGGCCCTCTACATGCCATGGTGTGCACAGAGTCAGTGTTTCAGGTGTCAGTCCCTCCTTCCACCTTGGTAGGGAGGTTCTCTCTTGCTGTTTCTGCCGTGCTATGTTGCATACTGTATAGCCACCCACAAGCTTCTGGGCCACCCCCCAGCCTCTCCTACCTTACTGCAGGGGTGCTGAGGTTACAGATGCCTGCTACCAAGGCTCCAGAAGTCATATCAGGTTGTCAGGCTTGCGCAGCAAGTGCTGTGCCCATGGAACAAGTAGATAGTTAAAATAGTCGTTATAAAAGGAACAGTTTTCTCCTGGCATAGAAATAAAGAACTTTAAAAGAGTAAAAGCATATTTTTGCCAATGTAGTTCTTTTTTCAGTCTTGAAACCAGGGCCCCTGAATAGACATTAAAGCAGTATTTAAATTTAACATTGACCACATTGAAAAAGATGTTTAAACATAAAGTAGTTTTCCTTCAAGTATGTATTTTGTTTCTAAAAAATAAAAATATGCCAGATTAAAATTTAAGTAACCATTACAAACAAAACCCCTTGCTTAAGTATTACCATTGTAGATCTTAAAGTAAAGTCATCTGAATAAAGCAAATTTGTGTAAAAACAAAAGTGAAGCTGGGCAGTGGTGGTGCGCCTTCAATCCCAGCACTTGGAAGGCGGAGGCAGGCAGTTCTCTGAGTTTGAGGCCAGCCTGGTCTACATAGTGAGTTCCAGGACAGCCAGGGCTACACAGGGAAACCCTGTCTTGAAAAACAAAGAAAGTGAGTAATGGACCCAGAAGCTGCTTTTGGCTCCAACTATCCCTCAAAGATAGATGGCATATGAGTAGCGACAGGACCATGCACCATGGAACCCTTAACCTTCACATCAGCCTCAGGTGTGGATGGGACCTTCCTAAGCTCAGAGGGACAGTTTCTGCACTAGGCAGGCATTGCCACTTTCTCCGAGAGGCTCAGGGTAAAGGAAGCAGCTCATTAGATGCTCCACCATTTGGCTAGGGAGAAAGCTTAGTCAGTGAAATGCCTGTCTCAAAAGCATGTCTTGAGACCTGAGTTTAAGCTCTAGAACCAATGTAAAAAACAAAACAAAAAAAGGCCAGGCAAAGGGCTGAAGAGATATAGCTTAGCAATTAAAAACACTGGCTGCTCTTCCAGAGGACCTGGGTTCAATTCCCAGCACCCACATGGCAGCTCACAACTGTGTATAAATCCTCTTCTAGGGGATCTGACACCCTCACACAGATGTAGTCAAAACACCAATGTATATAAAATAAAAAAATTTTTAAAAAGCCAGGCGAGGTGATAATGCTTGTAATCCCAGTACTAGAAAGGTGGAGAGGGCTTCCCTGGGACTCACTGCCAGCTAGTTTGACCTTACGTGCTGAATTCTAGGTAAGTGACAGATTCTGTTTCAAAACAAAAGGTGAGCAGGTACCTGGGGATGGTGTCCAAGATTGTCCTTCGGCTTTTACCTACACATGCAAATATATTTGTGGGTATATATACAAGAAATGCACCACCATGAGTCACATGTGTGCTGGGTGCCAACTAGTAAAAGGTTATGTTTGGGGAGCAGGCTCTCTCGAGGCCAGGTCCTGCTCCACATGCCAGGATGGCACTTGCCACCTTCAGGCAGTGCACAGCTCTACTAGGGTCAAGACTGAAACAGCTCAAGTGGCTACCTCAGTGGGCATGTCCAGTCCTGTTAACTGCTCTTTCTGCTTTGTGGCTTGCTGAAGCACTCTGGCTCTGTTGGACCTATTGTGCCATTTGCCATTACTGACTTAAAGCTAGAGTGACTTAAATGTCACTTACACAAGATTAAATAGAGAACTGATTCTTTTAACCAGCAGAGTCATAGTAACACCCATTTGCAGTAAGAGTTTTAGAGAACTTAAATACTCCCATTTATAAAGATTGTTTTATTTTTTTAAACTTTTAATTTATCTACTGGCAAAGTTAATGGTTTTCAGTTTTCATAAACTACACAGGAGTAATATGACCTCTAGATTGACATGTCACCTAGCTGAAATACTTATTTCAAAACAAAACAAAACACCTAAGAAGTTATTTCTTAGTTCTATAGTGAAAAGGACCCCAGCTACATTCAGGCTATTAAGCACCACGGAAGAACACACCATAAACCATATCCCTGCCCAGGGGAGGGGTGCAGATGACCCCTCTTTGGTCTCCACCTAGTCCCTTTTCTCCTACAGTGTGAAGCACATCTCCTGTCCTCTGCTCATTTTGCACGCTGAGGATGACCCAGTTGTGCCCTTTCATCTTGGCAGAAAGGTAGGTGTTGTGTGACTCTGCCCCAGTGCAGTAGGTGCCACTGGCCCCGAGTATGGATCAGGTTGGGCATGCAAGGTAGGGAGGCAGCCCCTGCACACTGCATCATGGCATGGGTTCAAGTCCCATCGCTCTGCATCTTCTCCAGGTGCCTGACAGCCTAAGAGGTCTGATGCCAGGGTCAAGACCTCTTGACCCTAAAACTATGCCAAACAAGCATTAGAACGAGGACTGAGGGGGCAACACCTAGCCCGGCTAGGTGATACCCAGTCTGTCCTCTTGCCTTTGGAGCTAAACTGCAGGGACCTTGCCCTTGCTTCTACTAAATCTGCCTTGACTTTGCTGGTAGGAAGCTAGATTAGATTTATGGAGGGGAAAAAATGTGGGATAAAGAACACCATGTGGGGCACAGTCATGCCAAGGAGCAGGGGAGCCTACAGGAGTGCATGGCATGCCTCAGCAGCAGCTTGGCCCAAGACTCACTTTGGGCACATTTCATAAAGTATACAGAAGATGAAGCCATCCAAGAGAGTGTGAACCTGCCCAGCAGTGCACCTGTGATGCATGGAGCTGAGGTGGAACTGCATTGTCTCTTCCCTTGGAGCTACCCCACTTAGCTGTTCTTCACACTGTGGAGGTGCAAGGGCAGAAAAGGCAGCATAAATAATGCACTTAAGGGAGTGGTGGTGCCTAGTGTCTGGCCAGTTAGCCCAGATTCTGGCTTCTTGGACCCGGCTGTGCAGACTCTAACGACAGAAGCACTGCCCCGGGCACTTGCACTGCACCAGTGTTTATTCCAAGAGAGGTTGGAGGTGGTTCTCCGTTGGGCTCTGGGTTGACTCATCTCTCCCTCTCACCAGCTTTACAACATTGCTGCACCATCTCGAAGCTTCCGAGACTTCAAAGTCCAGTTTATCCCCTTTCACTCAGACCTTGGCTACCGACATAAGTACATCTACAAGAGCCCCGAGCTTCCACGGATACTGAGGTGAGGCATTCTCCTCCAAGCCACAAGCCTCTCCAGGACAGCAATGCCTCACAACTAGCTGTGCAAGTGGCAGCCACGGAAGCCATTTGAGGAGCTGAGGCATGCTGTAGAGTCACAGTGATTCAAGAGCCTTCCACTACCACCACACAGAAGTTACAAAGTTCGTTTCCCTCCCTTCTGGCATATAGGCTCCCTATACACATTATACAAAACCCATGTGAACGTGTGTGGGGAGTGTGTACATGCACCATACTTATTCACAAGCAGCCATTTGTATGCACAAGTGTGAGCATTCTGAGAGCCTTTCAGTGTACATCTGTACCATTCCCAGCACACAGAAGGCTTTGTATGTACAGGGGTCCTTGGATATAGCTCCCTGAGGGGAGGCCATGTTTCTACCTACTGCACACTAGTCAGACTTGTGGGCAGAATGTAGGTTGCAGCCCAGAAAGCCAAAGGATCCATATGGCCTGGGCCCAGTGCCCAAGTGTGAGTGTGGAGTAACAAGGAGTTCTAATGACTGGCCCCACTCCCCATGCATGCCTATCTGCCGTGCTTCTACAGACTGCCACATATCACCAGCTCCTTGACAGATGACCCAGGCTCCACTCCCCACCACTCAGAGCAGCCCCGACCACAAGTCTAAGCCTCCCTGTGGACCAAGGAAAGGTACCATATTTGAACCAAGAGTGCTGGGCCACTGGGAGAGCGCTGTTGCTGCTCAGAGTGGTAGTTCCGCTGTTTGTGCTGCTAGGCTTGAGCAGTGGGTTAGAAGCCAGTTATTTCCAACTTAATGGCTAAAACTGGTTGCATAAATTGTTTCCCAAAGAGCAATATCCGTGTACAGTTAGTCCATACTAGCTCCTTTGAGAGTTCCAGAGGCAAAGCTATGTTACAATAAAGGATTCCTTGCCATCTGGGACAGGGAGCCGAGTAAGGTAGATTTGGGATTGACAGTCTCTCCAACTCCCCCATTATAAAAGGGAAATATGGCAGAAAATTTCAGCTGAATATGGAGCCCCAAAGCCTAACTTTGTCTCTGCATCTCCCCATACTGGGATTTGACCTGGGAGCTGCAGTGCCCTGCACGCCTCACTAGGGGATCTTTGTCAGGCAGCCTGTAGCCCCAGGTTCTTTGCTGCCTCTGCCACTTAAGATAGCTACCTAAGGACTGTGGGGGTGGGGTCTTAGGTCAAGCAGTGTGGCTCATGTGGTTGTCCTTCTCTGGTCCAGGCAATTCCTAGGGAAGTCAGAACCGGAACGCCAGCACTAATACTGGCCCATGAAGGAGCATGAAGACCCACCCTCCTTCCCTTCTCCCCTGGACAGCAGTCTGGCATCCAGGAGCCTGGTGTTCAAGAGCCCAGAGCGTGCCTAGAAAGAGGACTCAGACACCATGGGCAGAAGCTCCAGACGGATCTGTGAGGAAAACACAGTGGCAGGCAGGTGGCCCCTTGACCCTCTGGTGGCCACTCTACCTGAGCCTTCTGGGAAGGTTTACTGACAACAGGTGGACTCCATATGCTGAGCATAGGAAGCTTGGGAAGGGCCCAGGAGCTCAGGACCACCCAGGCTCTCTGGTACCACCACTAAGACACAAGAAAATGGTCCTTCCTGGCACACAGACTCCAAGTGGTTCAGTTTGTCCCCTTCAGCTTGTGTACCTGCTTGCCTTTCTCAGCTGTCCCTGCCTCTCCTGGCATTTGCTCACCCACTATAAGGGGCATCTGGATCTGCACTTCCTTCCATTCTGCCCACCCGTCTGTCACCTAACCCGGCCATAGACTGAGCATTTATTTAAGAATAAAATCTTGGTGGTGGTCTATGTATTGTTTTCTTTACAAAGCAGGGATCAGTGTTCCTTCCTCTGCTGTCCCTTCACATTTCTCTTCCTAACCATTGCCATATACACAGATCCCCAAAGGGAGTACAGGGGCTGTTCCCAACTTTAGGCTGTTCCCAACTGATTGAAGGTGCCTTTTCCTAAGGTACGCCTAGACGAAGAGACCACAGCACTGCACTGTGCGGGAGCATCGGACCTGCCAACACAAGCACCGCTCTTCCAGGATATGAGCTGCATAACCAGGGCTTGGAAATGTGCCAGACACATTTTATCAGGCTGTCTGATCTAAGCGTGTTTGGCCTTTTATGAAAGCCACACACCCACAGACCACACAGGGCAGAGAAGTGTTGGAGCACAAGGCTTAGCAAGAACTGGCATGTGGAGCAGCCACAGGGACAATGGGCCTGTACATCAGTGGAGTACAAGTAGCTACACTCCCTGCATCCACTAGATGGGAGGGTGCAAGTCCGCCGAGGTCCTCGCCTTTCCTAATGGTGAACTTTCCCCCAGGTCGTTAAGCTACAGAACTTTGCATTTTAAGGTACCAGTGTCGGGAGGTTGTGGCAGTTCATCTGCCTGTCTTGTTTCCCCAAGGTCAGAGGCCCAGCATTAGCAGGTGTGGGCTAGCTGGAGGACTCATGACTATATTCACAGAGCTCCCTAAGTGATTCTCAAGACATGGGCAACTTCCCTGCGTCACTCTAGAACCAGGGATTTAGCTTCACTAAGCCAGCAAGAACACTGAGCTGTTCTTGGCCTGTAACAAGGTGTACCCATCTGTGTTGTTATCCATCTACAGTTCACCATCAGCAGGCACCAGGGAGCCCTTGGCTTCCCTGTATAATTGGGCCTGGTTGGAGAGGGACAACTATAGCCTGTTCTATGTGGTGCCTACCCGAGGCTTCTATTCTCTAGCCTCCCATGGGAGTTACTTGACACTGTACGTTGTGATAGAAACAAATACCACATTGGCCAACCGTGGGCATAGAAGTTTAATCCACTTTTCACACAAGGAGGTAATAGCAGGTAGTAGGACGGTGGTCATGTATGTGACTTCAAGAAACCTCATGCACATAGCAAGAGATGGCCAGCCCTAGAACCCCCACAAGGTACCACAGTGGCTCCGGTGAACTGAGTGCTGAAAGCCAACACTTCCCATGTTGGAAGTACTGGAATGAGGAAAGTGAGGGGGTCCCCTGCCCAACCAGGTACAGCAATGCAAGGTGGTGGAAGCCTCTGGAAGGACAGTCCTCTGTAGTGTCTCACAGCCCACTCTCCTTTGGGCAGCACTTAATGCAGATAGGAGCACCGCTCCTGTAGTGGGGATGCTCAGCCTTTCTCACCAGGTTTTTGTAGTGGAGTGGAAATTAGGCCCCACTGCAGGACAGGCAGCCGAGTCATCAGCCAGGCAGAATATCCCTAAAGTAGCCAACTCTCGACACCAAACTGAGCTAGTACAATGTTTACTTACTAAAAAGGAAGGCTTTGGCTAGTTTCAATTCCTCATGAAGTGTTATTTCCTGTTGAAAAAGCAAAAAACAGCCTACCCTCTACAAAACTGCCTCAAGTATGGGATAAAGGTCCCTCTGTGTCTCCAGAGGTCCTGGGGTCTACAGGACACCCACATGGCTCCATAGATGGCTACAGAAGCATGGCCTATATGGGTCAACAACCCATACACCCAGTACAGTCAAGGGCAGGGGATAGAAAGCTGAGCATTAAACCTGAAGAAATGATTCCACCCAGCAGGGCCAACGAGCCCACACACTGGGCTCGGCCAGATCTGACTGCTAGTGACCCAGGTACTAGCAGAACACACAGGAATACCAGCTTCATCACAGATCATTACTCAGACCCCAAATCTAAAGGTTCAAAGCTAAAGACAAGCTCACTCAGCTATGAGCCATTCCTGGCTCATCCTCTGTAGGGATGATGGGCTGAAGCTGTCAGGACCACCTCTGCCCATCTGTACTGTGAACTCTCCAAGAGTTCTTTTGCAAGAAACCAGAAGGATGCCACAGCCTTCTTCCTTATCCAGGCCCTCAAAACCATTCCCATGGCCCCTCCTGGAAACAGCACTTCAGAGAGCAGGGTCCAGCAGCTGCTTGCAGTGCCTGAAGACTGGCATGAACAGAGTCACCAAGCAAGCCACTGGTCTCACTGTATAGGGTAATTAGTCCTTGGGAAGGTTGGGGGGTGGGATCTCCATGTCAGAGGGCTCTACGCCCCAGATTTCCCGTGCATACTCAGTGATGGTCCGGTCACTTGAGAACTTGCCGGAGCAGGCAATATTCCTGATCACCTTCTTAGTCCACTCCTTGGAATTCTGTCAGGAAAGAAAAGACTGATTAACCTTTGTTAGAGCTAAGGGATCCCAAGAGCCCAAGCTTCCAGAGTATGAGGGCTGTTAACAGGTGAGCTTTGGGGCAGCCTGATGGTTGCAGAGACCACAACCATGTGATCAGAGAAATGCCCTCAATGGCCAAAGAGGGACACTAGATGTAAGGAACCAGGAACTTAAGACAGGCTCACTGTCCTGTCCGGAAAAGGCTTCTAAGGCGTGGACCACAACATTAAGTCAGGAGCAAACCAGGTAAGCAACTGCCACAGGCAGACCAAAAGTCTTAAAGTGACTACTCTGTTCCGAGACTTCAGCCCATTACAGTTTCCTCTAGAACATCAAAACTGCCTCCAGACTGTAGGACCCAGACTTCAATGGAAGGGGCCTTCTAGGAACAGTGACTCCTGTAGGCCAGACTCATGTTTTCAGATCCCTTGTCTATTCTCGCCTATCAGAAGAGGTTTCCCCAACACCCTTCACAATAGCCACAAATGACATAAAGTACCTTGGAGTAACCCTAACCAAGGAAGTCAAAGACTTGTATGAAAAAAATTTCAAGTCTCTGAAGAAAGAATTAGGAGAAGATATCAGAAGATGGAAAGATCTCCCATGCTCATGGCTGGGCAGGATTAACATAGTAAAAATGGCCATCTTACCAAAAGCAATCCACAGATTCAATGCAATTCCCATCAAATTACCAACACAATTCTTTACAGACCTGGAAAGAAAAATTCTCAACTTCATATGGAATAACAAGAAACCCAGAATTGCTAAAACAATCCTCTACAATAAAAGATCTTCTGGAGGTGTCTCCATCCCTGATCTCAAGCTGTACTATAGAGCAACAGTTTTAAAAACTGCATGGTACTGGCAAAGAAACAGAATGGTGGATCAATGGAACCGAACAAAGGACCCAGAAATAAAGCCACACACTTATGGACACCTGATCTTTGACAAAGACGCCAAAACCATACAATGAAAAAAAGATAGCATCTTCAACAAATGGTGCTAGTCTAACTGGATGTCTACATGTAGAAAAATGAAAATAGATCCATACTTATCACCCTGCACAAAACTGAAGTCCAAGTGGATCAAAGACCTCAACATAAAACCAGACACATTAAATCGGCTAGAAAAAAACGTGGGGAATACCCTAGAACTCATTGGTACAGGAGAAAACTTCCTGAACAGAACACCAACAGCACAGGCTCTAAGAGCAACAATCAATAAATGGGACCTCATGAAACTGAAAAGCTTCTGTAAAGCAAAGGACACCGTCATCAAAACAAAGCGACTGCCTACAGATTGGGAAAGAATCATCACCAACCCTTTATCTGACAGAGGACTCATATCCAGTATATATAAAGAACTAAAGAAGCTGAAAAGCAGCAAACCAAGTAATCCACTTAAAAAATGGGGAACAGAGCTAAACAGAGAATTCTCAATAGAGGAATATCGAATGGCAGAGAAGCACTTAAATGCTCAACTTCATTAGCCATTAGGGAAATGCAAATCAAAACAACCCTGAGATTTCACCTTACACCCATCAGAATGGCCAAGATGAAAAACTCAAGTGACAACACATGCTGGAGAGGTTGTGGAGAAAGGGGAAGCCTTCGCCACTGCTGGTGGGAATGTAAACTGGTACAACCACTCTGGAAATCAATCTGGCGTTTTCTCAGCCAACTAGGAATAGCGCTTCCTCAAGATCCAGCCATACCACTCCTAGGCATATATCCAAAAGAGGCTCAAGTACACAAAAAGGACAGTTGCTCAACCATGTTTGTAGCAGCTTTATTTGTAATAGCCAGAAGCTGGAAACAACCCAGATGCCCCTCAACTGAAGAATGGATGCAGAAACTGTGGTACATCTATACAATGGAGTACTACTCTGCAATGAAAAATAAGGAAATCATGAAATTTGCAGGTAAATGGTGGGACCTGGAAAGGATCATCCTGAGTGAGTTGTCCCAGAAGCAAAAAGACACGCATGGTATATACTCACTCATATAAACATACAACATAGAATAAACCCACTAAAATCTGTACATCTAAACAAACTAAGCAAAAGAGAGGACCCTAACTAAAATGTTCAATCCCCATCCTGAAAGGCAAAGAGGATGCACATCAGAAGAAGAAGAAAATAGGAAACAACCTCGGAACCTGCCATAGAGGGCCTCTGAAAGCCTCTGCCCTGCAGACTGTCAAAGCAGATGCTGCGCCTGATGGCCAACTGACGGGCAGAGTGAATGGAATTTTTTGTAAGAAGTGGGAAATAGTAAGAGCTAGAGAGGACAGGAACTCCACAAGGAGAGCAACAGAACAAGATAATTTGAACACAGGGAACTTCCCAGAGACTCATATACTCCAACCAAGGACTATTCATGGAGATAACCTAGAACCCCTGCACAGATGTAGCCCATGGCAGCTCAGTGTCCAAGTGGGTTACATAGTAATGGGAAGTGGGACTGCCTCTGACATAATCTGATTGGCCTGCTTTTTGATCACCTCCCCCTGAGAGGGGAGCAGCCTTACCAGGCCACAGAAGAGGACAATGCAGCCACTTTTGATGAGAACTGATAGACTAGGATCAGAAAGAAGGAGAGGAGAACCTCCCCTATCAGTGGACTTGGGGGGGA